GTGTCAAAAATGTGAGTTTCTTGCTACTGGAAACGGACCAGTTTCCAAGAAGAAGGCACCCATGAGGCAGTATAACGTTGGTAGTCCGATGGAACGAGTTGCTATCGATATCGCAGGACCGTTTCCCGAGACAAGATGGCGGAAATAAATATATCCTAGTCGCTATGGATTATTTCACAAAGTGGACTGAAGCTTACGCCATTCCAAACCAAGAGGCAGCAACAGTTGCAGAAGTGTTGGTAAAGGAGTTCTTTACACGTTTTGGTGTTCCTATAGAAATCCATTCAGACCAAGGAAGGAACTTTGAATCGGCTTTGTTTCAAGATGTTTGTCGATTGGTAGGAGCCAATAAAACCAGAACAACACCTTTGCATCCTCAGTCAGATGGAATGGTTGAGAGAATGAATCGAACGATGGGTAAATATCTTTCAAAAGTCGTGGCAGAACATCAGAAAAATTGGGACCAGTTCCTCCACCTGTTCCTTATGGCATATCGATCAGCCGTCAACGAGACCACGGGTCAGACTCCTGCCTGCCTTATGTTGGGTCGTGAACTACGCCTTCCATGTCATCTCGAGTTTGGGCGTAAACCCCATGAAGAATATGTCGCAGGTGAAAATTATGTTGACCAACTAAAGGCGAAGATGAACGATATTCACGACTTGGCTAGAAATCATATTCAGATTGCCAGCGATCGCATGAAAAATCAATACAACCTCCGCTCGGCCAATGAAACTTTTGAAGCTGGAGATCTGGTATGGCTGCACAATCCACAGAGACGAAGAAGTCTTTCTCCCAAGCTACAAAGACAATGGGAAGGTCCGTATGAGGTGATCAAGAAAATAAATGACGTGATATATCGTATCAGAATGAACCACCGGAAACTGAAAGTTGTCCACATTAATCGACTCGCACGATATGCCGGATCCAACAACAACGAAGAAGTTAGAGGTATTCGAGAAGAGGAACGCAGCTTTGGGATCGAGCCAAACTTTAACGATTTTATGTCAAATTACGCCCAGCGGAAGAAAGCTCGATTTGGCGTTACTCAGGAAATTTGTCAAAATATTTTTGAGCTTCCGATTAACGTTTCCATCGCCCATTGTGTCGCCGAAGACCTTCGCATGGGTAGAGGTATAGCTTCCGTATTCCGGAAAAGATTTGGAAGAATGGACGAGTTGTTAAAGCAAAGACCACGAGTGGGTAAAGTACTGCGCTTGGAAGATAGTCAACGCTCTTTGTTCTACTTGGTTTCAAAGAAAACGTCAGAAGGAAAACCCACCTATGAAAACCTCTGGTCTGCTTTAAAAAGCTTAAGGAAACTCATGGCATACTATGACATAAATAGCTTGGCGATTCCGAAGATTGGATGTGGTTTAGATGGGTTGGACTGGAAAATAGTGCGAACCATGATCGAAGTGATTTTTAGAAACACTAGCGTTCGAATTATAGTATGCTGCTTCAACCCACAGGGGACGACCCTCCGCAAAACTGTGGACTGTTACTTTTTCAAGAAAGGTGTTTGTCGAGCAGGCTCTGACTGCAGATTCCGACACGAGGCATTAAAAAGTAATACTAACGCAGTTTCTGAACGAGACGTCCAGAATTAAGAAGGGGGCAGTGTAACGGAAATGCTGCAGACATGACGTCGCCTTTGGCACTCTGGAATTCTCTACGCGTATTCGAGAATGTACTGGACTTACATTGCTTGCGTGTATAAATGGTTGCGGACCGAACATCGCGGCAGTCTACTATCGAACGAGATCGAGTGCGAACGAAACATAGAGCGTGAAAAGCTGATATAAATTTCGAAGTGTGTGATATAAATAATCGATATAAATTGTACGGATTTTATAGTGTTTTAGTTTTGTTTAATAAATATTGATATAAATCGAACCCGAATTTATATAAATAACGTTACAATACACATAACCTGCAAACGTTATAATTGAAGATAATTTTAGTTTACCTGCTTACCTATTGTAAGTAGGTGTAGTGGGTATATGTTAATGTCATGTTATCAAGATGAATTTTGTTGATATCTACATTTCAAGTACATAGGTATGAATTCCTCGAGGAATTCCTAGAATATGCCAAAGGCGATAGAAAGAAACTATTAATTAAATCTACTTAAAGCAATAACATTGCAGACCAATATTGACCTACGGAAGAGAGACAGTTGGGTGCTGAACGAATCACAAAAAACCAGACTACACGCTACAGAAATGAAGTACTTGCGAAGGGTAAGGGGAGTTGGTGGAATTCCTAGTGAGAAGATAAAAATAGAAGTGGATGCTCTGATAGAGACCTTTGATAGACAAAAATTAAAACGCTTATTTGGACGCCTTGGACAAATGGAAAACAGTTGGCGTGCGAAACACATATGGAACACCAGAATTCAAAATAGGAAGAAAAGGGGAAGCATAAAGACAACATAGGATATGTACCTAAGTAACAAGAATACTTCAAGATCAAGGCATGGAATATGGGAGGAGGCTAAAGGTGCCTTTAGACTAGAAAGAAAACTCGCGCGATTTACTGTCGGACACTACTGTCTTAAGTGTAAATAGCATTGCGAGTCCATTTGACAGAACTCGCGGAAGAATTCTTGCGACACTTTTCTTGCCAGTCTAAACAGGCAAAAGTGCAGCTCGCCAAGTTCTCGCAAACTTTCCATTTCGTTTCGATATTTTGACGAGTAAACGTGCGAGTTTTATTATATTGTGGCACGTAACTAAGTATCCTGCTTTTTAATTTTGTAATAACAGTTCCTGAAGGTGTACCGCTGACATACGAATACAATTTTTAAATTGGTGGGATTGATTCTCAGATTCTCAGCTCATCAATTAATTTATGGTAGGGCCCATACTTTTCTCTTCTTGAAATCCATTCTCTCACCCAACACTTCTTTTGTGCTTCACATTATTGCATAAAACTACAGCCGCGGCAACACAAAGATGTGCTATTGGCACCATAATGTGAGATAAGTTATCGAAAACAACTGCTAGGTAACAACCATGGTGTATAATACACCATGGTATCAACTGACAGCATTTTCGGAAGCTAACAGTCCTGCTAGTGTAAACAGTTTTGTGAGAACTTGCGACAGCAATGGCTCACCTAACTTGCCCGACAGTTTATCGCCACACTCCGACACTTATTGCGCACAGTTTAAATATATGTGGAAGTTTCTCCCGCGAGATTCAAGTAACTTGCTAGTCTATCTACGCTTTAAGAAGTTAACGCGAGATAGGAAAAAATGGAGCACAATAGTTTATAACTTGGTTTATAGTGACTTATCTGGTAGAATATTATGTTAATTTGTTTTCCGTACACCATGATGGTAGAAGGGTTTTGATTATAATAAATACGTAATAACGTTACAATTCTTGTTGTTTATTCCATATTATGCTGTAAAGGATCATGACGGTTGCTTTCAAGTTGGAGCGATAATGTAACTAGAATTCACAGTGATGACGGAAGGCTTTACTAATTCGAGCGCGTTAAAGCAAATTCAAATTTAAGCGCGCTTGCGTTTGCGCAGTACAGGGAGTCAAGGCGGGTCCCCATGTGCGCAATCTTCGCGTAAGCGTATGGCGTTCAGCGATATGATTGGCTTTCGTGAACATATCATTACGCGTCGCCATATTTGTTATGCTGCCAAAATTTGCGCTTCGGATACGCCACAAAGTTGACTTGCTTTCTACTTTTTTGCGTAACGTAACCGCGTAACTACGGTGTTTTAGGTTATATTTTTGGAGTTTTTTTTCATCTTTTTTTTGTAGTTAAACGTAAATAGCATTTTTGTTTATTTATGTTCAAGTGATGAACGATTACACAGCGGAACAAAAAAAATAAAAATGTCTGCGGCACTAATTTTATTAATGAATTTTATAAACACTGGTATTTGATATACACTATATGCATTTAGTTTTTTTGGATTGATTCTGGTTCTTGGGATAAACGAAACGTAATAAATCAATGCAAAATTTTAAACTACCCTTCTAAAGTTGTATTTATTTGAATATTTCCATCTAAGTTTGGTTATCTATTCATGGATTTAGTAGTAAATATTTCATTGATCAGCTATTAGACCGAAATTATCAGTTCGTCAATATGGAGGTAGGAAAATCAAATGTGATTCTAAACCAATGCTAAACCCAAAAATTATCCTTTTTCCACCACTTCACATCAAGCTCGGGCTAATGAAACAGTTCATCAAAGCCCTTGATAAGACGGGTGACTGTTTTAAGTATGTGTGTAAAACATTTCCAGCTCTAAGTATGTAAAAGTTGAAAGCGGGCATCTTCGATGGACCCCAAATCCGAACACTTATAAAAGATACTGAATTCGTGAACTATATGACACAAATTGAATCTGAGGCATGGTTAAGCTTTGTTTTAGTAATCAAAAATTTCTTAGGGAATCATAAAGCTCCAGACTATGCAAAACTAGTCACTAAAATGCTTCAAAATTTTAACAAATTAGGAGCTAATATGAGCATTAAAGTGCACTTTTTGCATTGTCATTTAGATAGATTCCCGGATAATGTGGGCGATTAAAACGAGGAACAAGGAGAACGGTTCCACTAGGACATTAGGGTCATGGAAGAAAGATACCAAGGTCGATGGGACCGCCACATGATGGCAGACTACTGCTGGACCTTAGTAAGGGATTGTCTTGATCAGAACCATGGCAGAAAAGCCTACAGAAAAAGTTTTTTGTGATTTTTTTGAACTTTCGTCAGTGAACTGCATAGATATATTTGTTTTTGTTTCATTCCTAAAGATCAACTTAATAAAAGTATTTTTTCAGTGCAAATTGGTATTTTTATTAAAATTTTTGATTTAAATAGTTAATAGTTTTTATCTCAAAAACTGGAGCCAATTTTACAAATCTGATATTTTTCCAGTATTCAGCACACTAGTCTGATACAAAATTGACTTCGATCTGCCATACCGCAAAATTACTGTTCCCCAGTGTTATGGATCAGGTAAGCGTTTATTAATAATTATTTATCATAACAACGATTATTATAGCACATGCTAGTCGTGTATCAGGCGAGGCGTGTACTATAATAATAGTTTATAATCTAAATTACGTACAAAACTTTATCTACTTGCTTTTTTTTTTGCAACAATGTTGAGGTGCATCCATTTCTTAATACTACTTTTTGTTTTACTAGATGTACAAGTGTGGATATTGCGGGTTTTTTCTCAATTCATTCTGTGAGAACTTGCTCGAACATGACTGTCTCCTAAATATATTCGTGGAAGGTGAACATGATTTAGTAGAAGACAACAAAAAGGTTTTGACTATTGGTAAATTAATAATAGATATGTAACCAAATTTCTTTATACAGTATTTTTTATTCCAGTGGAAAAAGGAACAAGTACAGTGGTAGGGTCCAGTTCCGTCACGAAAGATGCCCCAACAGAGTCATTTGAGGAGCTTCTTATAACATATGTGCAGGATCGTCCAGCTCTGTACAATATCACTCTTCCTTTGTCAGAACGGACAGTAGGAAAAAAGAATGCCCTTTGGATGGAGGTATTCAATCTTTTTGGAGGAAAGTATACAATAGAAGACCTCCAGAAAAAATGGAAGTACTTGAGGGACTGCTATATTAGAGCAAGGAAAAAAGTAACACAATACATTCCAAGTGGTTCTGGTGCTTTGCAAAAAGTTGATCCGGGATTTAGGCACTATGCGCTAATGACCTTCCTTAATGATGACACTACTAGCACTCAAAGGTACGAAAATGTGCTGAAGTAGAATACAATACTTATGATTGCTTTTATAGGACTGTCTGTTCAGTCCCAGACATTGCCATCGCAGGTCCAAATGGAATCACTCCAACCCCAAGCCCGATGACATCTCCTGACATTTCTAGGGAAAGCATTCGTCCGATACCAAAGAGTAAGATTTGTGTTTATTTTCATTTCACTCATATAAATATAAATATTATAGTTAGAAGTAGCCCTGTGAATTCAATAAAAAATAATAAATTCATTTTTTTATTCAAATCAAGTCATCGAAATACTAGAAATATAAAATTCATAAAATTAAATGTAATCCATATGATTTCACATCTATAAAGATCAAAAACAGTAAGGTTCTTGTAGTTAGAATCTTGAATAAACAAATAATTTCGAGTACTTTTTTTATTTTTAGGAAGAAAAACTGACCATTCGAAAGATCTAGAAAAAGAAATTTTGGAAGCGGTATCCGCCCCAATTAAACTAGATGGTGTGGATGGATTTCTACTGCGTCTCGGTGAAAGTCTGCGAAAGTTGCCCTACAGAGAGCGAAGATTAAAATTATACAACTTGTGTATGAGACTGAAGTGAATTTGGGCGATAACCAATAATAAAATATAGTTGTATTTTTATAATTAGTATTCATTATTCAATGCCTTCTGCCACTGCATTACAAAAGTAATCAGCAAACAATTCTCTATATTGTGCTGCACGTCTGCTAAAGGTATTTGTTCCAGTTCTTGTAATATTTGATAACCCATCAGTAGTGACTGATTCATTTGTTTCCTCACATCTTGAATAATTTTGTGACTCAGCGATTTGCATTAGTAGAAAGTTATGCAAACAGACACAAGCTTGTACAATTTTTCTAACTGTATCTTCACTAGCTATTATCGGTTTACGAAAAACTCGCCACTTAGAAACTAGAATACCAAAAGCATTCTCAACAATTCTTCTAGCCCTACTTAGTCTATAATTAAAAACTTTTTTACGCAAATCTAGGTCTCCTCTTCTTGGATATGGGCGCATTAAATAGTTGGTAAGAGGAAATGCCTCATCACCAACTATTACATATGGCAAATTATCTTCTGGTGGTGGTAAATGGAAGTTAGTTTGTTCAAATCCCATGCCTAGTCGACTATCACGAAATATTCCGCTGTCACTCATCCTACCAGGAGCTCCAATATCTACCATTATAAACTTGTAGTCTGCATCAGCAATGGCAAGCAAATTAATAGAATGTGTGCCCTTGTAGTTGTAATAGGCTGAGCCAGATTTGGGAAGTGCCTGCAACAATTAATTGCAATTTCTATATCCAAATTTATACAAGTAATTGCTTAGATATTGTTATTGTGCTAAATTTATTATACCTGTATGTTAACATGCTTACCATCTATAGCTCCAATGCAATGTTTGAAATTCCATTTCTCTTCAAAAGTTTGAGCTATTGTTTTCCAATAGGTGTCTGTAGGATCATAAAATACTTTGTTCTTCAAACCTTCCCAAATTGCATTACAAGTTTCAAATATAATTCTAGAAACACTTTGTTTACCGACTCGGAAATTGTAGGACAATGAAGTCATACTATCCCCGGATGCTAAATATCTTAATGTTATCTCCAGTCGTACTTTTGCAGGTATGGGTTCTCTTATTAACAATTTTTTTTGTACATAGGGCCCTACTATTGACAGCAACAGGTCAAATGTTTCTGGAGCCATTCGTAAAAAATTGAAAAATTTGTTTCTATCTGTCCTTCGCATTTCCATAATCAAATTACTACTGGTACCTTGTAATAGTCGCTGTTCTTCCTTAAATACATCTCTTACCCACATTCTCTTATTGGTTTTATGATATTTCTGAACTAATTTATACAATTTGTAAAGCTTTATAACTTGTTGTTGTAAGGAATACTTTTGCACTGAATAACAACGGTTCATTTTAATAACTAGTGCCTCAATTGAACACAAAAGTATTCTACAGTTGATATTTTCCATTTTTTATCATAAAAATTCAAATATGTTAGGTTAAAGTCCTTTTGTTTATGTTTTTTGCAGCGTAACGAGCGTAACATAAACTCGCTTCAATTGGAACGTGTACGCCAAAACGCGCGTAATTACGCCGATACGTTTACGCCTAAATTTTACGCACATGGGGACCCGCCTTCAGTGTGGAACACATCTGCAAGTCTGTTGTTATGACATACATAACCTCTTTGCAGATTCAAAAAATGGAAAAGTCTTAAGAAATTACTTCTTGTGATACACGCCACATGGTTATGTACTCCTCGCATGGACAAATCAAAAATCAATGCCTTGCACATTTGCATTAGAAGGTATCTACCATGCATATCTGAAGTCATTGTTTAAATAGTGTAGTGTGGTGTGTGTCAACCATTCATATGGAGGCGGTTCTGTGTAATTTATTGTACAGAAGAACAAACTATTCGTCAGAAAGTGATTCTAGCTCGGATGATGAGTGGGCTGCAGTTTTAAACGAGAGAGGGGCACGTCAACTGCGTCCACGTATACTGGATTACTCCAATCTTGTTGACCGGTACCTAGACCATGAATTCAAGAGCAATGTTAGGTTAGTGAATGATGCACTAACTGTAAATGTGATGCAGATACATTTTCAGAATGTCAAGAGTTACTTTTGAATTTATTCTTGAAACTATAGGCCAAGATTTATCGCGGCAGACATTGAAAGGTAATCCGGCCATTCCATCACAGCAGCAATTAATGATAGCTCTGTGGAAAATTGCAACTGTGGACTCATACAGGTGGAAAATTAAAAACCGACCTGTGTTTCACAATCTAACAGTCTATTTACAGGTCTGTATGCGACCGATTTAATGTGGGCAAAGCCACTGCTCTGAGAGCTGTGCGTAGAGTCACTAAAGCTTTGTATACAAAATCGAATTTATTTATTCAATGGCCCAGTCGTGAACGAGCAATCACAATAATGTGTGGATTTGAGGAATGTAGTGGATTTCCGAAAACCATAGGTGCTATTGAACGATATTGAAGAAAGGCTAAATGCGCATTGTAATACACGCAACGCCCACGTTTTCCTAACTACTGATATAGTTTAAAAGTACGAAACTCTCAAGGAAAATATATTCCACTAAGGGCTTTGCTTGATTCGGGGTCAGATAGTAACTTCATTGGTAAGGGTGTTTACCGAATGTTAGGATTAAAGCAACAAAGAACAAACGTGTCGGTGTCTGGAATAGGTCATACGGTCAGTAATATTCACAACCAAGCCCAAGTAACGATTGGTTCTATGTACAATGACTTTAGTAGAACATTAAAATTTTTGATTATTAATGAAATTACAGCCACCATACCATCTGTACGATTTGACAAAATTAATTTCCAAATTCCGGCCGATATTAACTTGGCAGATGTGGATTTTAATGTGCCGGGAAGGGTGGACATATTAATCGGAGCGGAAGTATTTTATGACATATTATTATCGCGTAAACTCGAGTTGGGGAAAAATAAACCTATCTTAAGAGAATCTCAATTGGGTTGGCTCGTTACGGGAAAAATTACGCACGAGGATTTCGTTCAAAAGCGTAATTGCAATACTTGTGTTCGAGACGTGAAGCTACTAGGTCAGTTGCAAAAATTCTGGGAGGTTGAGAATTTCGAAATACCCCGCGAATACGCAAGTGAGAACGAAGAATGTGAAGTCAACTTTATTAACACTTCGAGTAGGGACGTCGACGGTAGGTTCATCGTGCAGCTCCCCCTTAAGGGGTGCGAGTTGGGAGAGAGTGGGGCAACAGCATTAAAAAGGTTCTTAAGCCTAGAATGGCGATTGGCTACAGATGTCGTGTTGAAAAAGAATTATTCGGATTTTATGACGGAATATCACAATTTAGGCCATATGGAATTGGTCAAATCGATTGACCACCGAAGCGATATTGATGAAGGGGAATTAATTTATTACATTCCACACCACGCGATCCTGAAAGAAGCGTTGAGTGAAAAGTAATAAGAGACGCAACTTGATCAATTTATATGAGGCTTGTGCGGGCACCGACAAATAGATGCGCCAGTTGTCAAAAGGCACCGAGATCACAGAGTACTTGACTTTTATTCGGTGCCGAGGCCCCGAGATGTTTCAGTGACGTAATTGATTGGAAAGTGTTGGTGATGACGTCACGACAGGGCTGCCAAATAAACAGCTGATGGAAATAAAACAATTCATTCACGACAAAACCATATATTTCTCTTATATATATGGACAAAACACAAATTCATTTTTAGTGCGCGTTTTGCAATGGCGTTATGTTTCCGATTTCCCTTTTTAGTGTTACTGTTGTGGATGTCCACATGATTCAAGACGGGAAACGTGCAGTTGTTCCGATTTCCAGCAGAAAATAAACAATTTTACAAGTGGAAGATGTGCAGGTAAGATCTTTGAAACCCAAAGCCCTATTTGTACGCCAAATGATAGTTCAGAAAGTAATAAATACTCTTCTCTACAAAAGTTTATTACTCTACTCACCTTGGACAATATTAATTGTAGTAGAGCCAATCGAGATCCGAAGTAGAGTGATGGTAACAAAATGTTGGGTCACCACTACCATATTATTCCCATGGAATAAAGAGGGCACGTGGAAATTTCTTTATCCAGAAACGTGGAAAAGGTGTGTATTAATAAACATTTTTCTGAAATTTGAAAGTGTATTTTCAGAAAAACCAAAAAAGTTTGACCAGTAAGAAATGTAACGAAGAACCGGGAACCATGGAAGCAGGTCCTTTCACTTCAACATTTCTGCTAAAATCTCGAACACTTGAAAAAACCGAGTTGTACTTTTTCAAAGAAGAAAATACTAATTTAAATGAAACCCTACAACTACAACAGTGTGAAAAAAAACTATTGTTCCAAGATATTAGTGGGGCTCACTTTTTAGTGTAGCTGGGCTGTGGAAATCATACCACCAGAATAATCTATTATGTACGTTGATGAAGTTTCGATTAAATTTAAAATATTTTAAGTGTTTTAGATTTACAGTGAGTAGGTAACATGAAAATGCAAAACATTATCGTCACATTTATATGTGCTACTTGTAATGTTGTACGCGGGCCTTATGAGTAATATGAGTAATAGAGAGAAAAATTATCTTTTTATATCGACATGCTTCAAAGACATCACAAATGGCAGAATTGTGTTGGATTGCACGGAAATTGAAGGTGCAATTCCGCATTCCTTTAAAAAAGCTTTATCTTCTGATTACAAGCAGTGCAGCAACAACTTTTGAGAGTGATTTATTTCCAGGATCATTACATTAGACAAAGTGGCGTCATGCCTCATTTGAGAGAGCATTCCACTGTATTGTTCAAACTTGTGCACCACTAGATTTTCAATATGAGAATTAAAAAAATGTTTACCATTGGCCACTGATTAAATGAATTAAAATTAAGGAAGATGTACAAATAGTTTTATTTCATTTTCCATATGTGTAAATATCAATACATATTTAATTAAAAACTAAAATCACTTACTAAGAAAACTAACAGATAACAATACAATACTAACTGTTTTAATAATTTACCTAAAAGGTTACAAACATATTAAATTTGAATTGTTCTCCATTCTTACATCTATCGCAATTTAGGAGTCCACATGACAAAGATCTTTTCATCATAAGAACAAGTTCTTGTATTTAATGAAAAGCATGGTGTGACCTTTTCACATTTGAACTACCATCAAATATGAATTTTTGCTCATTCTTAATTCATCTAGTATTCTATGACCAAATGGATACTTTATTTCTGTAATCTACGACGTTGTCATTATGGCAGATTTACCATGTCCACTTTGGATTTCATAAGACCTTATGAATTCATTACGCTTTCTCCAGACACAGCGTTAATCCTGCGCGGTTCTGTCTGAACGATTTGAAACATTTTCATGTAAATAAGGTCCTCTTGAGAATCGCGCGATTACCGGCGTGTCGGAACAAGCACGCAAATAATAATTACTGCTATTTTCCATCGCGAACGCCAAAATTGACAAATGTGATTACCATGACATCCACTAGTATGGGCACTTGATAATTTTGTTGGCATTTCTAGATTAATAGGTATTAATTGACGTTTGTTAATTTAAAGGTTGACAGTTTCAAATCGTATCTCATCGGACAATCACCGCAAAATTGGCCCGGCTCCACAAGTATGAACTACCAACAACAACGGCAGCAGCAAATTAGCTTTGACAGATCGTCACGACAAATATGTTGCACTTCCATTGGTACTTGCTAACTGGAGTGCAGAAAGTTTGAGGACTACCACCTATCTGCATGGGGCTAAGTGTTTCATACATTGCTTATTTAAATAGAATTTAAAAATTGTGTGGAAATTAATCTTACCTGTTTAGTGCTTTCAATCTCATCCTCTGTTCGTGGCACCACATCACATTGCACTTTCGGAAACAATTCCAACACGGAAACTGCGTTGTTTCAATAGATGAGATTGGCTCTTTCCATTAGGATACTGTATCAGTTTTTCTCTCGATTTTACGAATATTGTTATTTGCATACAGCAAAACAGCACAGATATGCTGTTACTAAATTGCCACTTGCTACAACTTCTTCGTTTAAATTAACCTAAAATAAAATGTTGAGTTACCTGCACTTATATCACATATTATTATAAAAAAACCTTATGCAAAGCA